CCGGCTGGCACAAATGGCGGCAACCATTCTAACCGGTTTTTCATTCTAACAGGTCCTCATGTCAGCAGTTTTCAGTAGGTTTTTGCTCTTAGCAGTCATAAAATTCAGAGAATCCGAAAGTGTCTCTACCTCTGTTGTCGTTTCCGTGGCATATGCAGTGTTTTATGGGGCAAGGTTGCTGGCCTTACGCCCAACCCTCAAACCTGGAGGACCAGGGGATCACTCTTTGTCTGGCCTCTACCCTCTTACCTGTCCGGCATGGGTGATCCTGCCGGGAGTACAAGACTCCCGCCAGCATAGCTCTCGGCGTCATGGAGACACACAAGCTGCCTCACCACTACAAGGTGACGATCCCACCGAGGCAAGGAACTAGCTTGCAACTGAGGCTAATGCGAGGAGTCTTTTAAAATGCAAATGACATTCACTTCTTTTCAATGACACTCCCCCGCAAGAGCCTCCATCGCAAGCTAGTACCAGTCCAATACCGTGAATGCGAAAATGGCCTATTTGTGGTCCGACTGCACTGATGGATCAATACAGGGCACACCATCAAAAGAAATGCTTCACGTTTTATTTTAATGAAAATTATCGAAAACCTTCGTTAAAAGCTGGTCTCCGAGAGATCTAGCCGTGCTTCAAATAGGAACGAGATGGAACTCTTACAAACACTGTAGGGAACATGTAAAGCGATTTCAACGATAAAACCAAATGATTAAAAGTATAAAAAAAGGTTTGACTGAATGACGTAATCACTTAACCATAGATTCCAGTATCGAACGTGTTTCGATGTGGTGAAAATTAATGTATATATTCCCTTTCGCCTTCGCGAAAAACAGTGTCTTCGAATACTTCGATTCAAACGATCAGCATCTGTCGATAAATCCCGTTGTCATACTTCCCAACTCAAATACATTTTCCGATTGGAGGAGAGCGTGTCATGTGTTGTGGGTCAAAACTCACTAACTCCTTAAGGAAACAACAACTTTCGACTCGCACGAGATCGGGTCGTGCTCTTTGAAACCGCGGCAAATTTGTCAGTTAGCCGGCGTAAAGCAAACGATTTCTTGCAGTTTTTTTTCTATTTTTGAGTTGGGAGTAGGGAGGTATAACAAAACACTTAATGACTGGTACCGCGGGAAACAGTGAGATTTGTTTCCCCTCGACCTTAATACTAGCTAATACTCCCCTCGGCTTTGCCTCGGGGAACATCGATATCGAGGGTCTTGGGTAAAACAAAACTCTCTGTTTTCTTGGGGCCAGTCATTAAGTGTTTATTAACAGACGTTATCATATTTTTGGCGCTCGTCTAAATAATCCCCCGCGGTTTTATTTTTTCGTGCGCTCGGTGATCTTTATAATCAACGATTTGGCGGTCAATGTGCTCAAGGTTTTTATGGGTAGAAACTGAGAGCGAGACGTTTAAGAGTTTTAGCATAACCCACTGATCAATCCATCGAAAAAGAAAATGTTTTATTGTAGTCCTGAAAACGCAAAGTTGAACCATTTTCAGTGATTGGACCAGCTCCTTGTGACTTCAATTGATCTTTACACTGACTCGACACTTGAAGCCAACCAGAGTATTCTTCGGTCGGCGAATTATTCTGAAAGAAATTTGGTATGTAAATAGACTGTTATTCGACGTCACTCAAGGCTCAAACTGAACGCTTATAACTTAAAAGTCTCATTTTTAAGTAAACATGTGTTGACGCCACTCAGTGGAAATATGTCTCTTAGTGTAAGTTTCGTGTCACGAACGTCAGTTTGCGTGCACGTACGACATGCAGGTGTCTTGTAGTCAATAATTGTTTCTGCTCGAGTGTTTCTGTCATACGTCGGAAAACTAAGTTTCGAGCGGACGGCCACTATTGAAAATTACCTTAACGTGTCAATCGCGGACCGATTACTACGAAAAAAGAAAACGCTCTTGCGAACTTTTGATGAGAACTCTTTTTTAATGACTATTTATCGTTTTTCTGGTTCGAATTAATGCATTTTGTTTAGGAGGAAAAGCAAACGTCAGCACAGGCGACCAAGCTCAAGCTGGGAGAGATGATAGCGGTATAGCGTAATAGCGGTCATGGCAAAATTATAAGACTTTGTATGGGAATATTGATGAGTAGTTTTAGGAGTTAGAAATACTAGAAAGCTCTAAAAAGTAATAAAAATACCTTATCTTACTTCCACAGTGTATTGCTTGTTGTCCGTTCGCTTTTTGTGCTGATTTGAAGCGGTTTTAGCGAGTTGTCATTTACTGGGTTTCCTATTCACATTCAAGAAAACAGACAACAAGAAATACATTGCAGAAGTAAGCTAAAGCATTCAGTGTTATTCAAAAATCGCTTTTTAGCATTTACACTCCTAAAACCGCTCATAAATATTCCCATACAAACTCTTATAATTTTGTCGTAACCGCTACAACGCCCGGTGATCTCTCACAGCTGGAGCTTGGGGAGCCTGTGACGTCAGTAGTACTGCCACATGCTCCGAACTAAAACAACACATTTTTTTTCCTACGATCTTATCAGCTCTTAGAGCACGGTTGGTTTATTGTTACCTGGCTATTTAAGCAATTACGAACGGTGGAAATGTATAGAGGATAATACATGGGCGCGCGCAGATAGGAATATCTCCTCAGGGCCGGGTTGTTCAAAGCCCCATTAAGGATTAGCGAGAATTTTGATTTGAGTTTTGTAACTTTCCGGTGATGTTTCCTGTTTATAATCTTTGTGCTTCAGTTTTGAGCTTGTCTAAGCTCAAACTACACAAAACGTAAGCAGTAAGAAAGATTTTTATACAAGAAAAATTAATACTTCGGTTAACTTTTAATCCTGGGTTAGCGTTAACCGGCTTTCGAACAACCCAG